GTCGTCGTCGTCGTCGTTGTCGTCGTCGGTCGTCGTCGTCGTCGTCGCCGTCGTCGTCGTCGTCGTCGTCGTCGTCGTCGTCGTCGGCGTCGGCGTCGCCGTCATCGTCATCGCCGTCGTCGTCGTCGTCGTCGATCGTCGTCGTCGTCGTCGGCGTGGTCGTCGTCGTCGTCTTCCTTGTCACTCGTCGTCGTCGTCGATCGTCGTCGTCGTCGATCGTCGTTGTCGCCGTCATCGTTGTCGCCGTCGTCGTCGACGTCGTCGTCGTGGTCGTCGTCGCCGTCGTCGCCGCCGTCGTCGTCGTCGTCGTCGTCGTCGTCGTCGTCGTCGTCGTCGTCCGTCCTTCGTTGCCGCCGTCGTCGTCGTCGTCCGTCGTCGTCGCCAGTCGTCGTCGCACACCGTGTCGTCGTCGCCGCCGTCCGTCGTCGTCGTCGTCGTCGTCGTCGTCGTCCGCCACGTCGTCGTCGTCGTCGACGTCGTCGTCGTCGTCGTCGTCGTCGTATCGTCGTTCCGTCGTCGTCGCCGTCGTCGTCCGTCGCCGTCGTCGTCATCGTCGCCGTCGTCGTCGTCGTCGTCGTCGTCGCCGTCGTCGTCGTCGTCACCACCGTCGTCGCCGTCGTCGTCGTCGTCATCGTCGTCGTCGTCGCCGCCGTCGTCGTCGCCGTCGTCGTCGTCGTCCTGGTCGTAATCGTCGTCGGCGTCGGCGTCGTCGTCGTCGTCGCCGTCGTCGATCGTCGTCGTCGTCGATCGTTGTCGTCGCCGATCGTCGTCCTCGTCGATGTCAACGTCATCGCCGTCGCCGTCGTCGTCGTCGTCGTCGTGGTCGTCTTCGTCGTCGCCGTCGTCGGCGTCGTCCTCGTCGTCGTCGCCGTCATCGTCGATCGTCGATCGTCGATCGTCGCCGTCGTCGTCGTCGTCGTCGTCGTCGTCGTCGTCGTCGCCGTCGTCGTCGTCGGCGGCGTCGTCGTCGTCGTCGTCGTCGATCGTCGTCGTCGTCGTCGTTGTCGCCGTCATCGTCGTCGCCCTCGCCGTCGTCGTCGTCGTCGTCGTGGTCGTCGTCGTTGTCGGCGTCGGCGTCGGCGTCGTCGTCGTCGCCATCGATTGTCGTCGTCGTCGTCAATCTTCGTCGTCGTCGTCGTCGTCGCCGTCGTCGTCGCCGTCATCGTCGTCGCCGTCGTCGTCGCCGTCGTCGTCGGCGTCGGCGTCGTCGATCGTCGGCGTCGTCGATTGTCGTCGTCGTCGATCGTCGTCGTCGCCGTCGTCGCCGTCATCGTCGTCGCCGTCGTCGTCGTCGTCGCCGCCATCGTCGCGTCGTCGATCGTGGTCGTCGTCGTCGTCGTCGTTGTCGCCGTCGTCGTCGTCGTCGTCGTCGTCGTCGCCGCCGTCGTCGTCGTCGTCGTCGTCGTCGTCGTCGCCGTCATCGTCGTCGCCGTCGTCGTCGTCGTCGTCGGCGTCGTCGTCGTCGGCGTCGTCGCCGTCGACTGTCGTCGATCATCGTCGCCGTCGGTCGTCGTCGTCGTCGTCGCCGATCGTCGTCCTCGTCGTCGTCATTTTCGTCGGCGTCGGCGTCGTCGTCGTCGTCGCCGTCGATTCTCGTCGTCGTCGTCGATCGTCGTCGTCGTCGTCGATCGTCGGTAATCGCCGTCGTCGTCATCGTCGTCGCCGACGTCGTCGTCGTCGTCGTCGCCGTCGCCGCCGTCATCGGCGTCGTCGTCGTGGTCGTCGTCGTCGCCGTCGTCGATCGTCGTCGTCGCCGATCGTCGTCGTCGTCGATCGTCGTCGTTGTCGCCGTCATCGTCATCGTCGTCGATCGTCGTCGCCGTCGTCGTCGTGGTGGTCGTCGTGGTCGTCGTCGTCGACGTCGGCGTCGGCGTCGTCGTCGTCGTCGCCGTCGTCGACCGTCGTCGTCGTCGATCGTCGTCATCGTCGATCGTCGTCGTCGTCGTTGTCGCCGTCATCGTCGTCGCCGTCGTCGGCGTCGTCGTCGGCGTCGTCGTCGTCGGCGTCGTCGCCGTCGATTGTCGTCGATCATATTCGCCGTCGGTCGTCGTCGTCGTCGTCGTCGCCGATCGTCGTCCTCGTCGTCGTCGTCGTCGTCGTCGTCGTGGTCGTCGTCGTCGTCGTCGACGTCGTCGTCGTCGTCGCAGTCGTCGATCGTCGTCGTCGTCGATCGTCGTCGTCGTCGATCGTCGTCGTCGTCGTTGTCGCCGTCATCGTCGTCGCCGTCAACGTCGTCGCCGTCGTCGTCGTCGTCGTGGTCGTCGTCGTCGTCGGCGTCGTCGTCGTGGTCGCCGTCTTCGATCGTCGTCGTCGTCGATCGTCGTCGTCGTCGATCGTCGTCGTCGTCGTTGTCGCCGTCATCGTCGTCGCCGTCGTCGTCGTCGTCATCGTCGTCGTCGTGGTCGTCGTCGTCGTCGTCAGCGTCGGCGTCGTCGTCGACGATAGTCGTCGTCGTCGTCGTCGCCGTCGTCGTCGTCGTCGTCGTCGTCGCAGCCGTCGTCGTCGTCGTCATCGCCGTCGCCGTCGGCGTCGGCGTCGTCGTCGCCGTTGCCGTCGTCGATCGTCGTCGTCGTCGATCGTCGTCGTCATCGATCGTCGTCGTCGTCGTTGTCGCCGTCATCGTCGTCGCCGTCATCGTTGTCGCCGTCGTCGTCGTCGTCGTGGTCGTCGTCGTCGTCGTCGTCGTCGTCGATCGTCGTCGTCGTCGTTGTCGTCGTCGTCGATCGTCGTCGTCGCCGATCGTCGTCGTCGTTGATCTTCGTCGTCGTCGTTGTCGCCGTCATCGTCGTCGCCGTCGTCGTCGTCGTCATCGTCGTCGTCGTGGTCGACATCGTCGTCGTCGTCGTCGGCGTCGTCGTCGGCGTCGTCGTCGTCGCCGTCGATTGTCGTCGTCGTCGTCGTCGCCGCCGTCGTCGATCGTCGTTGTCGTCGTCGCCGTCGTCGCCGTCATCGTCGTCGCCGTCGTCGTCGTCGTGGTCGTCGTCGTTGTCGTCGTCGGCGTCGGCGTCGTCGTCGTCGTCATCGATCGTCGTCGTCGTCGACCGTCGTCGTAGTCGATCGTCGTCGTCGTCGTCGTTGTCGCCGTCATCGTCGTCGCCGTCATCGTCGTCGCCGTCGTCGTCGTCGTCGTCGTCGTCGATCGTCGTCGTCGTCGATCGTCGTCGTCGTCGTCGTCGTCGATCGTCGTCGTCGTCGTCGTGTCGTCGTTGTCGTCGTCGTCGTCGTCGTCGGCACCGGCGTCGTCGTCGTCGTCGCCGTCGTCGATCGTCGTCGTCGTCGATCGTCGTCGTCGTCGTCGTTGTCGCCGTCATCGTCGTCGCCGTCGCCGTCGTCGTCGTGGTCGTTGTCGCCGTCATCGTCGTCGCCGTCGTCGTCGTCGTCGATCGTCGTCGTCGTCGTCGATCGTCGTCATAGTCGATCGTCGGCGTCGTCGTTGTCGCCGTCATCGTCGTCTCCGTCATCGTTGTCGATCGTCGTCGTGGTCGTCTTCGTGGTCGTCGTCGTCGTCGTCGGCATCGGCGTCGTCGTCGTCGTCGCCGTCGTCGATCGTCGCCGTCGTCGATCGTCGTCGCCGTCGATCGTCGTCGTCGTCGTTGTCGCCGTCATCGTCGTCGTCGTCGGCGTCGGCGTCGGCGTCGGCGTCGTCGTCGTCGTCGCCGTCGATTGTCGTCGTCGTCGTCGATCGTCGTCGTCGTCGATCGTCGTCGTCGTCATCGTAATCGTCGTCGTCGTCGTCGGCGTCGTAATCGTCGTCGTCGCGTCGGCGTCGTCGTCGTCGCAGTCGTCGATCGTCGTCGTCGTCGATCGTCGTCGTCGTCGATCGTCGTCGTCGTCGTTGTCGTCGTCGTCGTCGTCGTCGTCGTCGGCGTCGGCGTCGTCGTCGTCGTCGTCGCCGTCGATTGTCGTCGGCGTCATCGCCGTCGTCGATCGTCGTCGTCGTCATCGTCGTCGTCGTCGTCGTCGTGGTCGTCGTCGTCGTCGTCGTCGGCGTCATCGTCGTCGTCGTCGTCGTCGCCGTCATCGATCGTCGTCGTCGTCGATCGTCGTCGTCGTCGATCGTCGTCGTCTTTGTCGCCCTCATCGCCGTCGCCGTCGTCGTCACCGTCGTCGTCGTCGTCGTGGTCGTCGTCGTCCTCGTCGTCGTCGTCGGCGTCGTCGCCGTCGTCGCCGTCGTCGATCGTCGTCGTCATCGATCGTCGTCGTCGTCGATCGTCGTCGTCGTCGTTGTCGCCGTCATCGTCGTCGTCGTCGCCGTCGTCGTCGTCGTCGTCGTCGTCGTCGTGGTCGTTGTCGCCGTCATCGTCGTCGTCGCCGTCGTCAATCGTCGTCGTCGTCGATCGTCGTCGTCGTCGATCGTCGTCGTCGTTGTCGCCATCATCGTCGTCGCCGTCATCGTCGTCGATCGTCGTCGTCGTCGGCGTTGGCGTCGTGGTCGTTGTCGTCGTCGTCGGCGTCGGCGTCGTCGTCGCCGTCGTCGATCGTCGTCGTCGTCGATCGTCGATCGTCGTCGATCGTCGTCGTCATCGTTGTCGCCGTCATCGTCGTCGCCGCCGTCGTCGTCGTCGTCGTGGTCGTCGCCGTCGTCGTCGGCGTCGGCGTCGTCGTCGTCGCCGTTAATTGTCGTCGTCGTCGTCGTCGATCGTCGTCGTCGATCGTCGTCGATCGTCGTCGTCGTCGTGGTCGTCGTCGTCGTCGGCGTCGGTGTCGTCGTCGTCGTCGTCGTCGTCGTCGATCGTCGTCGTCGTCGATCGTCGTCGTTGTTGATCGTCGTCGTCGTCGTCGTTGTCGCCGTCATCGTCGTCGCCGTCGTCGTCGTCGTCGTCGTCGTCGTCGTTCTGGTCGTCGTCGTCGTCGTCGTCGGCGTCGGCGTCGGCGTCGTCGGCATCGGCGTCGCCGTCGATTGCCGTCGTCGTCGTCGTCGTGGATCGTCGTCGTCGTCGATCGTCGTCGATCGTCGTCGTCGTCGTCGTCGCCTCCCTCCCTCGAAACCAGCCGCGGTCCTCGGCCGCGGCGCTTGGCTCCGCGACGGCGCCCAGCGCCGCGCGCGCGGTGGCCGGCCCGGCACCGAGGAGGCGCAGCAGCGTCTCGCTGGCGGCGTCCGCGTCGGGCGCCAGGACGTCCTACGGTCGGGAGAGATCAACGCATTGAAAAAATCAAGACGGAGTTTCTTTGCAACTCTCGGCCTCCAGGGGCCCCGCCGGGCCCTGGGACCGTCAAAAAACGGGTCCCAGGGAATCGGTCGAGACTTCCAGGGGCCCCGCATCGAAAAAAACGCGACATCGGATCTCTGGGAACACGCACGTCGGGGGGAGGGTTAGGCCAGAGCTTCGCGGGTTCTCTGGCGTTTTCGTCGCTTCTCGGAGGCGCTCCAGCCTCGGGATGCCTTCCAGCGGCTGCGCCTCCCCTGACACCCGACGTTGCTGAAAAATTGCAATGTCGTAAAAGATCACGCCCAGAGCCCTAGACCCTACCTTTACGCGTTACCTGTCGAACCGGATCTATCTGTGAGGCTCCTGGGGCCCGAAGAAAAGCGAGAAGGCCCGGCACGTAAAAGTGACGCCAGGATCTCAGGTCGCCGAGAGCGTCCTGGGGGAGCCAGAACCGTCCCGAAGGGCTGCCTGGGAGCCGAGTTATGCCCCGTAAGCGGGGGGCCCCCAGACTTGGCGGCGCGTGCAAGACGGGTGAGGGGGAGCGCGGAAGGCTCCTTAGGAGGCTGCCTCTTAGAGGGCGCTGGCGTTGCATCCACAGACGAGGCCCGCGCCCGCTAAGAAGCAGGAGTGCTTCCAAGAAGCCTTCCCCCCTCCCCCTCCCCTTGCCCCCTCTGCGCGTGGCCTTGGTCGGGCGGGCCCTCCTCATTCTGGACGAAAAATCAAGAAGAGTGAAACAAAAAAAAACTTGTCAATCCTATTTCTTGGCGATTTTTGAATATTCCTCCTGCAAGGGGGGCGGACGCTGGCGGCGACCACGCCGTGCCCCGCGCGCGGAGGGCGGCGAAGGCGCCCCGCCCCGCGGGGACCAGAAGGCCAGGAGAGGCTCGGGGTGTGGGGGTGCCACGACACCGGACACCCCAACAGTCCCATCATCGAATTAAAGATGTGTCTAGCTCGGGGTGTGGATGCCACGACAATGGAAACCCCAACAGCCCTATCATCGAATTAAAAAAATGTGCTCAAAATGTCGGAAAGATGTTCCAAACATGTTGTAAACATGTGCTTCACATGTTTAAGAGATGTTTAGCACATGTTTTAGATATCTGGAAATTATTTGGCAACACGCTTCCTCTCCGTTGATCGTCCTCCACAAGGCTCGGGGCGTTGGCGCTCGGGGGCCGGGGCGTGGCTGCCATGTCGCGCCGAAGCGCGGCTCGGCGGCGAGCGACGGGCGTCGGAAACCATTAAAAGCAACACTCACGCGTAACACATGGTGTACCCCCCCCCCCCTCCCCCCGAATGCAACGTTGGGATCGGATCTCCCGAGCTTGAGTGTCGGACCAGTGATGCGTAGACGTGCCAACTTTGAACTGCGGGGGGAGGGGGGAGGGTCACTTAATTGTTTCCCTCAACCAGAGGGGGGAAGTGAGAAAGAGAAGGCCTTCTCAGAAGGCCGTGGTGCTTCTCAGAAGCCCTCGCACCTTCTGAAAGGTTTTTATGTTTTCGGGGACAGTTTGGAAAACTTCTCAGGAAGACGGGGGGCTTTCGAGCCTTCTGAGAAGGCCTACCTCTTCACAATTACACAATCTGAATACTACTCTCCTCTCTCCCCTGATGACGTCCGGAAGATGTCTGGCCCTTCTCCGAATAATGTTTTTTAACGCACAGGATTCCCGGGAAATGGGTTTTCGCTTGGGCTTGTTTTGAAATGTTGCTCCCGCTGAAGCGCTGGCCCCATTTCTGCGCCTCTGGTTGTTCCAAATCTTGCTCGCGCTGCAGCGCGGGCGTTTTCGGTCCTTCCAAATGGGCCCCAAAATCTAGAAAATGGCCCCCCGAAAAAACCATCGGAAGTGATTACACATTCGGTGTCGATTCGTTGATTTTTGGGGTCGCAGACTCTCACCCCACTTTGGGGCGTCGTCGTTTTCAGGAAGTATCAAGCGGGAGCCCCGTTTCTGCTTCGAGAAGGCGATGTTGAAAGCAGAGCCAGGGGGTGCTCTCCATCAGCCCCGCCTTGTGTGGAGCTTGTCGTGGAGCCCAAGGAGCCAGACATGGAGCCACGACTCCAGACCGGCCCAGAACTCTCGAAGGCGATCCACTATCCTCCAAGGAAACCGGCGCCATGCCATGTCATGCTGTGCGGTGTTGTGTTCTGCGCCGCTGTGCGATGCCATGCTTTGCGTTGCAATGCTCTGTGGTGCAATGCTTCACTGCGCAATGCCACGCCATGCTATGGCATGCTACGCTCTGCGCTGCTCTTCCACGCCGTGCCATGCCGTGCTCTACCACGCATCGCGCACCTTCTCGCGATCACCGCCGTGCTCGACATCCAACCTGTGCGAATCGCGAG